GCCGGCCTGGCCTGAATAGAATAAAATATAGGATTAATTTGGTTGTTAATTTTAATTTAATTTTTAACGGTTCATTGTAAATATCAACTGGGGTTTTTTTGGATACTTTATTTAATGTCCCTTTTAATTTTTGTAATATGAGTTTTCTTTTGTGTTGTACGCCGCCCTGAGTCCTTGGGAGAAGGGCGGCATATAAATCCAATAAACCTAAACCAAACAGTGTTGAGCTTTTCCTCAAATTATTGCGGAAGAAGAACAAATCATTATACAAGAATAAAGACAAGGGGTTTTAACACCTACAACTGTTAATTGATCAGGTATTTGTAATCTGATATGTTACCCGCATCTGTATAGCCAACCCATCTTCCCCGCCCCGCCCCCACTTTATCCTAATTTAAATTCTTCATCAATCTAGCCACCCTATCCATCTGATGAAAGTGAGCTTAGGTCCGTTAATAAAATCCGTTAGTCAGAAAGGAGGCTACCTGACTTGTCCTTATTATGCAACTCAGGCTTCAAATGAATGTCAAACCAAAAGATGAGGCCTTCAAAAAAAGTAACTTGTTCAAAGATATTTTTATAAGTCCTTCTAATGAAGTGCCTCAGCAGATGCAATGACTCAGCTGACTGTTCCCATGCCAGAACCTACAGATTGGTTGGAAAGAACACTTGAGGGCTACTTTAAAGGGCAAAAGCACGACAATATTTATGTGACAGCTATGAAAGATTATTCAGAATCTGGCTAAACACATTGCAGAATTTAACCCAAAATGTCTAAGCAAAACATTTCCTGAGCATCAATTTTTAATATGACTGAAATGTTGAAAACTTCAAAAAAAATGGTTAAAGCAAAGGTACAGTCTTAAAATGTACATGATAATAGGCAAGGGTTGAGTGGAAAGAGAAAGGAGAATTTTAATGGATGGGAATAAAGTCATAATCTCTACTAATGTATAAGGAAAATATGACTATTAGAAAAGCACACACTAAATTTTGTAAAATAATAATACCTGCACATCTTTCATAAAAAGTTATTGCGGGATTCAATAACCTATCTCAGCATCATCAATCCAGCAACAAAGGAAAAAATTGGCAGGTAAAAGTTCTGTAACTTGTCATATAAAGTTCTATGGAACTATTATTGAGCTTTGCTATATATATTATTCATTACTACAAAGGCATCCAATTTACAACTAGGATAATAGTGGCCTACTGGAGTCCAGGCATTTAAAATTACTAGAATAACAGTTTTATCAAATAATAAACAAACTAAAATAATCAATAGAACAATCCATGCAAAATTATGCAAAAAAATATGCAAAAAAGCAAGGATAGGGAAATTGGCCAGATAAAAATGCAGTCAGCTTGTTCTGAATGTCCAAGTGAAGTTCTAATGCTAGGTCTTGACTTTAATGACAAAATCTATGAGACCAATTGTGTTTTTTGCATAATTTTGCATGGATTGTTCTGAACAGCAGCCAACCATCAAAGATGGCAGGGAGAGCTAAGAAGGGAAGCAGGACAGAGAACCCCAGCTCTCTTTCTGATGCTTCAAAATAGAACTCAGGTTGTTGATTGGGCTATTTTTGAACCATTCCAGGAAAACACTATTCCCTTTGAATATACTCATTAAAACAATTTACAGAATGAGTTTGAACAATGATTAAACTTGCTAGTTTAGACATCTGTCAAAATTTACCTCTTGCCCAAGCTATCCTAATAGAATTACAGAATATCACCAATTGGTGATATTGGGTGGAATAGAAGGAAAATGAAACCAAGAGAATTCTCACCCTCAACCACACCATGTCTTGTATAGCAATAGCACTTAGCCTTATATACCGCTTCACAGTGCTTTTACCGGCCTCTCTAAGCAGTTTACAGAGTCAGCCTATTGCCCACAATGATCTGGGTCCTCATTTTACCCACCTCAGAAGGATGGAAGGTTTAATCAACCTTGAGCCTGGTGAGATTTAATCTGCCAAATTGCAGGCAGCCAGATGTCAGAACTATTGCACTCTAACCACTGCACCACTGCGGCTCTTTATAGAGAATTATGGTATATAGATAGCAATGTTTGCTAAGCTAGGGACAGGGTGGATTTGATTTAAATCAAGTTGATTTAAATCACGATTTAAATCACTAGTAAAAAAGCTTCATTTAAATGAACTCGATTTAAATCATAATTTTTAAAGAGCAACCGTCCTGCAGCGACTCCTCCTCTGACCCGCTGTTGAGTCACCAACTATCGCAATATTGCAGAATATACAGCCTCATGCTACATAACTAAGGTCCATTTTATGCTGAATAAACTAAATTATTAATGTATCTTTAAAAGGAAACTATCTTTAGATAAAATTTTAGTCCCAAAGCATTTTATTAAAATAAATTTGATAAAAATAAAAAAAATCCGATTTAAATTTTTAAAAAAACTGTTTTTTTAAAGTCATTGGTTTTTATCCACCCTGGCTAGGGACCACCAATGGGATAGCGAATGTTATACTGTATAAGTTTCTGTTGGCATGAGTATAGCACTAAAGTGCTAGATAGCATTTTAATTTGGCTATGAAGAATAGCCCTGAATTACTGATCTGTAATACATACAATCTGTGTATCAGAATGTAAAGATACTTATTTATGAATCATCATGCCAGCTGCAAATGGTCACTTCCTGTTGGATATAATGCAACGTTCTTTCAAAGCTGCATTCAACTGTTTTCATTCTGCTGTTGAATGTATGCAGCTTACTGCAATTCTCCTTGAGACTTTTAAAAGGTAACCAAACCTATTTTTCATTAGCAAAAAGTATTTACAAAACATGCTAAACTGTGATCTGTTTAATCATCATTTATTATGACCAGAATAGCTGGGTTCATATGATATGCTGGGCCATTTATAAGCATAACTGGTAGATCTTTAAAATCAGGAAGTCTACGTAGCTCTACCCAGAATTGGAAGCAAAATTTAATCCAAGCTTTTCTTCAATCCAAAATCTGCAACTGAGGTCTGAATTAAGGCTTCCTTGAAATAAAACTGTTGTGTATCTGTTCTACTCTCCACAACAGCAGAACTAAACACTTTGCAATGCAATCTATCCCACTGTAACTTACTTTATTGTTAAGCCCCATAGAAGGATGCTCCTCCAAGCAGTTCTTCTAATACTGGATTAAAGATGACATCACCCTTAGTATTTAAATCTCCCTCAAATCCTGCTGTGCCGCCTTATAGGTAGTACTTGATTTATGACCTCAATTGGAACTGGAACTTTTCCATTACTAAGTAATGCAGTAAATACTTTGATATCCTGATACCAGCACACAATCCTAGGTATCTCAGAATTCCCTCTAGCACTGATGGAATTAACATGTTATTAACAGAATAATAAACCTATAACTACTATTTATATGCAATTCACTAAACCACTATAGTTTTAAAATTACAATTGCATCCATAAAAGTACTGCTTTGTTTATATTAAATACCTATGATCTTTACCATCTGTTGGCAAGGTAGTACCAATCAATAGAAGTGATGACTTCACAGCTTGATGTCAAAGAATCTGAAAGAATGCCTCTCCTTATATGTGTCTACCTATACCTTAAGGTCATCTTCAGCCATCCCAGACCATCATCTCATCCCAGCTCGTAACTGAAGCT